TAAACTGGTTTCAGACTGGTTTAAACTGGTTTCAGACTGGTTTCAGACTGGTTTAAACTGGTTTAAACTGGTTTCAGACTGGTTTCAGACTGGTTTAAACTGGTTTCAGACTGGTTTCAGACTGGTTTCAGACTGGTTTCAGACTGGTTTCAGACTGGTTTCAGACTGGTTTCAGACTGGTTTCAGACTGGTTTCAGACTGGTTTTAGGTTGTTCTGATTCAGAGGAGCTACATTTTTATTTTAAATAAAATATAAATTTATGTTTTTAACTCTTAATTGTTAAAAAAGTCCATGTTTGTTTTTATATTCATGAGGTTCTGACCCGAACCAGGCAGGGAGGTGAACCAGGAAAGACTGGACAGGATAAACTGAGGGGGGTCGTGGCCCCCCCGGGCCCCCTGTCAGGGTCCGGTTCTGGCTGACCACCGTGAGTTGGACTGACTTCTCCAGGTTTGGACTGAGGTTCTGTCTCAGGTTCTGGTCTGGACTCCAGGACCTGGACTCTGCAGGGTCCAGTTCTCCAGGAGACTCAGACCTGGTCCTGTCGGTCCAGAAACTGGAGCCAGAACTATTTTTAGTCCTGGACTCTTGAAATACTCTGGACCAGAACCACAGAGGTCCGTTCAGCTGTCAGTCAACAGAACCTAAAAATAGTCCAACAATGGGTCAGAACCTGAACAGAACCGTGTCAGAACCTGAACAGAACCGGGTCAGAACCTGAACAGAACCGGGTCAGAACTGGAATAAAAACTGTGGAACAAAGTTCTGAAAGGTTCGGAAAGAAAAACCCACCTTGACCCGGTTCGGTCCAGCAGAACTCACCTGGTTCCGCAGAGCTTCCAGGGCAGAGGTCAGCCTCTTCGTATCCTTCAGAACCTCGTCAGAACCGCTCCGGTTCCGGCCCAGCTTCAGGATCTGGTAGCAGAGCAGCCCGAACAGCAGCAGCGAACCCGAACAGAACCGGCGGCGGAGCAGAACCCCGGCGGTCCGGAGGAGGCAGCGCATGAGGAGCAGCTTCACTTCACCGAACCGAACCGAGCCTCATCTTCATCCTCCTCTTCCTCACATCAAACATGAAGGAAAAGTTCGGTTCTGACCCAACAGAGACAGCCCGAACAGAACCTGTGGTTCTGCCATCTGGTTCCACTTAGTCCTGCAGGAGGAGGAGCAGGTTCGGGTTTCACAGGCCCGACCCGTCAGAACCTTCTGAAGACTTCCTTCAGCTGCAGGAGGCGGTCCGGTCCGGGTCTGAGGGGGTCCGGACCTCTGAGGGGGTCCAGACCTCCTGCTGGACCAGTCTGAGGGGGTCCAGACCTCTGAGGGGGTCCGGACCTCCTGCTGGACCGGTTTAAGTCTGAGGGAGTCCAGACCTCCTGCTGGTCCAGTCTGAGGGGGTCCAGACCTCTGAGGGGGTCCAGACCTCCTGCTGGTCCGGTCCGGGTCTGAGGGGGTCCAGACCTCTGAGGGGTTCCAGACCTCCTGCTGGTCCAGTCTGAGGGGGTCCAGACCTCTGAGGGGGTCCAGACCTCCTGCTGGACCGGTCTGAGGGGGTCCAGACCTCTGAGGGGGTCCAGACCTCCTGCTGGACCGGTCTGAGTCTGAGGGGGTCCAGACCTCTGAGGGGGTCCGGACCTCCTGCTGGACCGGTCTGGGTCTGAGGGGGTCCAGACCTCTGAGGGGGTCCGGACCTCTGAGGGGGTCCAGACCTCCTGCTGGACCGGTCTGGGTCTGAGGGGGTCCAGACCTCTGAGGGGGTCCGGACCTCCTGCTGGACCGGTCTGGGTCTGAGGGGGTCCGGACCTCTGA